ATTCTATAGCCGAACCAATTCAGATTTTCACGTTCATCCAATAATACAATGACATCCAGTTGCAACACTAAATGAATGAACTTGAGTGGCAAGAGCGAGGCTTAAAATCGCTTAGACTCCATAGCCAATGGTACAATGACATACAATTGCAAAAAGAAATAAATGAACTTCAAATGAGAGATCGAGGATTATAAGAAGAAGAAGATGATGTACACCAGGGAAACCAAATTTTACATAATGCAATCCCTGCAAGTCACGACAATAGGTAAGTATCGGGCCTGATGGCCTGTCGAACAAGCACGGGCCGTTACGGGGCACACAAAAAGTAACCCCCACGCTTAAGTTTACGATCGCACACACACACTCAAAACTGGCATTTCGTTAAAACTGACATCTTTTTCTAAATTCACGAAATTGAGCGTAACAAAAAACAACATTTTTGAGTGTTTTTTTGTCCCCATGACGTCGGATGATCAAATCATCGGGTGTCGTGGTGACTCCCGATGATCTAACCATAGGATGTATGTTAACAGTACTTTACGTTGAGGTACATCAAATAGACAAAGTGAGATAACCACTTTCTCACCCGATGAGCAATGAAATTTTGACTGAGTGCACTTTCGTGATTTTAGAAAAAAATGTCAGTTTTAACGAAATGTCAGTTTGAAGGCAAACACACAGTCGGACTTACATACGTACTCACACTGAAGGCAAGCATACTCTCTCTCTCTCTCTCTCTCTTTCTCTCTATCTATCTATCTATTTATCTATCTATCTATCTATCTATCTATCTATCTATCTATCTATCTATCTCTCGTGTTGTGAAGCATTTACCGCCGTGCACATCGACGTGGGCGAGCGTTTTCAGGAGGATCACATTGTCGTAGTTCAAAACCTCGAATGATTGTATCTGGCCATCTTTCCTGCATTGCCGTTTGGAACTCATCTGGCAATCTCTGTCGGAAAACGAGGAACCCGCACAGCGGAGAAAAAGCGACATATCCATTGTAACGATTCTGCTTTGGTTCGAGATTTGCACGACCAATAAGCAGATTCATGCACTGTTGCAGATGCTCTTCCAGCCCAGCAAAAGTCACAGCCTCCTCCAAAAGCGCTGCGGGTCCCGGCCACCGACTCCTAATCTCCGCGACTGTCAGCTCCTCGTCGCGGAAAGGATCTGTATCTGTCCCATTTCCAAATACGACTGCGTCGGCCCGCACGCCAGCCCTGCGTCGTCGGCGGTCCATGTATGGGAATGGGTGAATATTGTTTTGTCGCTTATATGTGAATTTTTAGAAATCTACAAAACAGAACATTACGGGCACCGATTACCTTAGTACTGTACCTCCACATAACGAAAACGAAAACAAAATTTCAAAACGCAAAGCAGGCGAATAAAAAAAACTGAAAACATATAACAAACATATGGGAGATGACGATTGCATATGTATACACAAAATGTACAATCTTTGAAACCATTATTTTGTCTCTCTCTAACAACGAAGAAACATAGGGGAAAAAAAAACGAATGGTACTCATCGCTGGATCGCACTGCAAGGGTAAAACATGGCAAAGAAATCCTCGCCATCGGAGACAAAATATGGCGGCGACACGACCAGGCGCCAGACGCCGTCCCGTAGTGTGTATATAGTATGAGATGCACAAGGGAGAAGACGATATCATACATCAAATCACCGTCGACCGGTTTGAGAACAAAGGTACTGAAGTACGTGGTCGGCTTAGACATTAGGACACGAACGTGTTCGATGGCGTGATCACGAATATAAGTCTCTGTAGTGAGTCTGACGACTCGTTCCTCCTCGACGTTGACAACGAAATAACGATCCACCTTCTTGTCTCCATTGCGGTATCCCACTTCATCACAGACAGGATCTGTTACGGGAGTCATTGATTCGTAATAGTATACGGTGTCACCGCCTGTCAGTTTTGTGGTGTGGTAACATCGAAAAATCATTGGCGCGCAATGCATCGTCGCTTCTTTCGTATGGCGTTTGAAAAGTGCTGCAATTAACAGAAACCAACACCGTAAGTTATGAACCCAACGATCGAGTAACGAATAACGCAAACATGATATTCTGCATGTACCGTACGGAGAGGAGGAACGCCCTTTATACATATATATTGGATGAGCGGGTAGTCGCGGTATCGAACACTGTCGAATGTTGAAAACCTTTACGATTTTGTTCGTCAACCCACCTGTTTCAGACTACGCATGAGACGAGCGGGATGATGGTTCGTTGACACTTTGGCACTGTTGTCCGCAACCGTTCTTTGGCAACACACTGCGCACATAACAATGGATTCGTGAAAACCAGAGAAGCAGACCAAAACCAGAGAAATCCTATAGACAGAAAAATGTCAATGGAACATAGCATTTTTTTAGAAGTAAAGGTTGATTTTGCACCGTTTCGTGCGCAAATGTCATCGACCCCCCCCCTAAAAATCAGTAAATATACGAGGCCGACCACAACGTGGTATAAAAAGAGCCCATTTTGGAGGCGAACAGGCGACTCCTATTCATGGTCGACGAAAAGATCTCCAATTTATGGAGATTTCAGTGCATAACGAAACGACCAGTCAGTACTGTACACTGGAAGTAGTATTTTGTTTCAAAACAGAAGAGCCTTTTCCGGAACCTAATCCAATGACGTAAAAACTAACCGAAAACCTTGCAAGACGAACATAGCCTTTTTCTTTGCACTCATAATACTAAGGAAATAGAAGCTTGAAAACGAAGGTAGTAAAAAAACGGGATGCAGAGGAAAGCAAAAAACAGCCAACGACAACTGATTTCAAATCTCCAAAAGTTGTGGACAGCCAAATTGACCGAATTCGACCGTCACCGAAATTCAACGACTTCCAAACACGATCTTATAGGCCTATAACTCGAATTTGCGCAAATGCAGAAAAAAACCGAATCTTGCGAGATTTGACAGAGACCCTGAGAAATTCTCTCGAAATCCGGAAACTGCACTTTTCGAATTAAAGGTCTTTAACGACAGTTTGAAAACGAAAGACGGATACAATAATTTTAGTCCGCAATCGGCCAAGTGTTTATAACCCTATAAACACAATGTTTAACATCGAGGAAATAAAGTGAAATTCAAACACGACCTTATAGGCCTATAACGTGAATTTTGGGAAAGTAAAAAAAAAGCATAATTTTAGTCCATTACCAGTCGAGTATTTAAAGCCCTAAAAACACAGTGTTATGAGTCGTGAAAATTCCATGAAATTCGAACGAGAAGTTATAGGCCTATAACATAAATTTCAGGGAAGAAGAAAAATAACCTAATTTTGCGAGAATTTGACATGAAGTTTGGGGGGCGTAAAAAAATTGATCCGCAATCGGTGAGGTGTTTGAAGCGCTGTAAACGCAATGTTGAACATTGTAAAAATTGAATGAAATTCGAACACGATCTTGTAGGCCCTCAACACGACTTTGCGGGAAGTAGAAAAGAACAAAATGTCGTGAGAGTCTGAATGACAAACCACAAATCGACGATTGTTCATGTGACAAATGTTTTGGTCAAAAAATGAATGAAAAACCGCAAATCCAAAAGCTAGTACCCAAACGGCAAATCGTGAGTCAATTTCCAAAATCTCAAAATTGTAAAGTGAAAAACCGCAAAGTGCATTAGGAAAAGATCGGAAAAACAAAAAGGTTGGCCACACGTGTCTGGCTGCGAACTGCGACCTACYGTTGTACAAATTTACAAGAATTTACAAGCCGCTAACGACTAGACTCAGATAACAAAAAGGTTGCCCACACGTGCCTGGCTGCGAACTGCAACCTACTGTTGTACATATTTACAAGAATTTACAAGAATTTACAAGCCGCTTACGACTAAACTCCGATAATCTGTTGAACAGCGACAAAAGGAAACCTGATCTAATGAGGAAGCAGAAATGACCTCGATCTCGATGACACTCTGCCAACCTCCGAAGCAATCGGTTCCTAGAAGGTCTTCCTAGTCGACATCCTCCGTTGTCATGGAATTCAACATCTCAGAGATCTTTTGTCTGGTCTGCGAGAAGAGGGTTCTACCTGTCTTCAGTTGGAAGTTGTAACAAAGAACGCTGCAGCTCCAGTCATAGACGTCCTCGGAAGGCTCTCTCGTAGTCTTTCCTTGAGGATTTGTCTTGAACTGAGGATAGTAACCCTCTCCTTTCTCACGTTGTGCAAACCAAGCAACTTTGAATCGTTTACCTGCTAGCTGCTCGACAACCTTGCCAATGTGGTAAGGTTTGCCTCTCTCTTCCTGCCCCGAACAAGCTCGTAATGCGATGAAAGTGTTGACCTCGAGATCGTCGTACTTTCCGTCACTGTCCTCTCGAAACTGTCTGCTCTTTCGTGCACCGATGTAGATGGGTTTCTCAGGAGGGAAAAGATCATCCCAGCGTTGGTCAAAGCCGTTAGCAGTTGGTGGAACTTCTTCACCTGCTCTGTTGACATCAGCTGTTACAGAGGGTCACGCGAAAGGCTCTTTGAGGTTTGTGTCCTCAAGGTCGAGAGTTTACTGCGTTGCTATAAACTTATTCCACCATTCAATGTTGTGGGGTTGAGCGTAATGCGACAGGGCATGTACGTTGGCTTTCAAGGCGGCGATGGAAAGTACATCATCGTCAACCTTGAATTTCGAAGATCCTCCCGCTTTTCGATTACGGACATGACCTTCACTGCTGACGACCTTATCACGCCTCTCGTCCTCACCCCGACAGGTAAGTCGATATCTTGCTTTCAAAGATCGGATTGCATGCTTTGGCGAAACTTGAACTTGTCCTGTTGGCTCTGACTTGAAGATGTCCAGACCTTCTCTGTCGTTCGGTTGCCACTGCGAGTTATGATATTGCTTGCTCCAAATGCGCACCTCCCCGTTGTCGTTGTGCTTGATTCGGAAATGTTGGTTGAAGCTAATATCATTGACATTATGTAGATGATCCTGAACGTACAACTTCCAGTCCATTGTTTCGGTCATCTCTTCAACGTGCACGCCATGATCTTGTTCTACCTTGTACGACTCCCTAATCACGTGTTGCAACTCAGGAAGATCGAACGCACCATGTGCAGCCAGCTTTCTCGAGAAACAGCTGAACATCTGGTCGATGTCCTCGTGCGTGTGACCTACAAGAAGAAAGTTTAACTTAACTTTACTAAACACTCTCATTTTCACCAAGAACACGAGATATGACAACACAAATTTGTTCTTGTTCTCTTTCGAAGTGTTATCAAGTGTAAGATACATGACTCTCGGAAATGGTAGAGGAAGTTGAGAAATCTGACGATGAAGAACAGTTAGCATGCAATTAGAATCTGATTTGAAGTTGTCAAAGAAAACAGTTGCAGAGGCGTTCGATGAGAGTCCTAGCACCTTAGCCCCAACCACGTGAACTTTTACAAAGTTCCCTTCTTTTAGTTTCGAATCCTTTGGAACCCTAGTGAAGTGTGGCAGTATAGTCTTGCTCTGATCCATCCCATCAATGATCATTGCGACATACTCTGACGGATGACTTGAAGCCTTGTGGCGATGCTTACTGAGTTTTTGTCTCTCTTCTGCTTGCATTAACCGGTGCTTCTCTAGTGCCTTACCAAACATTTCTGCGCAAATAACAAAACAAGCGGTTACTTTGTCAAAACATGTTAAAGAAAAGAGACAAATCGCGATGTAGTACCTTAAAATCGAAAGCAATGATTAGACAAAGTGTTATAGGGCTATAACTCAGGAAAGCAAGTCCACAAGTGTCGTGCATCATAACATTCGAAGTTTGGGCAAGGCGACGCAGACGTCACTAATAACAAGGGCTTTAAAATCGAAGACGGCTAAGAGATAAAGTGTTAAAGGGYTTTTACTCTGAGGAGTCGAAGACGATTATTAGACAAAGTGTTATAGGGCTATAACTCAGAAAAGTAAGTCCACAAACGTCGTAGAATCTTCAATTCATTCTTCCCCAAAATTTCTGTTTTGATTGACTGAACGAGTTCGGGGAAGGCAACGCAGGCGTCACGAAGACGATTATTAGATAAAGTGGTAAAGGGCTTTAACACCGAAAAGTCGAAGACGAATAAGAGACAAAGTGTTATAGGACTATAACTGAGACAGAGAGAAAACGTTTAACTATTTCTTTACCAAACTTACTACTTTCATAAGAATCCTTCCAAGTTTGCGCTGACACAAGATTCATTTTTCTTTCTACACGAAGAACATTTAGAGAGAGAGAGAGAGAGTGAGAGAGAGAGAGAGAGAGAGAAAGAGAGAGAGAGAGAGAGAGGAAGAAGAAGAAGAAATAGGAGAGACGAATAAGAGTTCCATGAGAATCCTTCCTTAAATGTGCAAGTCACAGCCTCTACCTTCTGCAAAAACAGATTAAAGGGATATAATTCAAAATAATCAGTCGCGCTGTGGCAAACATCGAAGAATGAACATTGAGAGAGAGAGAGAGAGAGAGAGAGAGAGAGAGAGAGAGAGAGAGAGAGAGAGAGAGAGAGAAGAAGGGTCAGGAAGACAGGGGGAGAGAAAATAAGCACTGAGGTTATGTCATTACCTCGTTCGAACGCACTTGTTGCCTGTGAACGGCCTGTCTTGAATTTCAGATATGTGGAACAGACCGAGAACCTCTTCAATGCAGGAATAAGAACTTTCGGGCAGTGAACCCTCCAAATGGTCATAAATCTGGAACAGGAAGGAAGAGTCTTATTCGTGTACAGCTCTTTGCAGTCTCGCTTGAAGAAGTCGTACACGTCTCTGCGCCAGAGAGTATCTGAAAGATGAAACTGGTCGCTGTTTGGCATACTCTCTGTATTGTATCGAAAATATTCATGCAACCAGGCGAGAATTTGCTGTGATGAAGCAGATAATCCGACTGATCCTTTGTTTGCATGCTCGTACAGCACCATTCCTTCTCTGAATTCTTTGCGTATCTTTGCAGCACGTGTAGTCGAGCATCCTTACAACTTTCCCCACGCTTTTGTACAAACCTTTACGCCGTTGAACGTCACTCTTAACACCTCTAAATCTCCCTCATCCAAAAAGTACGACGCAACCCTCATCTCTGCGAGAAAGAAGTTCAGTTGCTCAGGTTGTTTCATCGCCCAAAATTCTTCGCGCTTGTAGAAAACATCTACCGCCGTGAACTTCTTGTAAAAGTTAGCCTTGCAGCAATCTTCCTTCAGAACTAGTTCGACATTCTTCATGTTCACGTGGTAGTAAGCTTTCTTGTTGTACACACGTGCGTTCCTGCCGCGGTTTCCCAAGTTGTAAGGAGGTTTCTCACTCTTGCTTGATTTGATGTACAGTCCTCTTCTCACCTCCTGTGCTATTATCTGCTTCGCTTCTCCTAAAAGTTCTCCAGATAGACTCTTCTTGAACATGTCGACATCGATTCCCGACTCGTTCTTCCCTTCATCATCCTCAGAGTCTTTGTCTTTTGAATCGGCATCCTCGCTCGTTTCCTCCTCCTCCTCATCGTCGTCGCTCCATTCGCCCTCCTCATCATCGTTGTCACTGGGTTCCTCTTCCTCAGTGTCGTTGTCACGCAATTCTTGCGCCACGCTGTCTTAGAGCGTTTCTTTCACAACAAAGTTCTCGCTCATATCCTGTACATCGTCTCTCTCTCTGGATTGTTCGCCTTCAACGTTCGAGCACTGTCGCTTCCATGGGCGCTCTATCTGGATTGTACTCCCTGTTTTGCCAGTTGCGCAGAGACCCATCACTGTGTTTGCTGCTCGGTATGGCGCAATAACCTTTCTTGTTGTCGTGTTTGATCGCGGACGCTTCGGAAACAAACAGACATTGGTGGTCCTCTCACCAGTTGCATTGAGCTTCGGTAGAGGGTTCGGCTTCTTGCCTCTGTGTGTACAACATTGACGCAGGTCCGGAAACCACCTGCTATTCTTCGTCTTGACACTCTTGGCATCAACACTCTTCTTACATTGAGAAAGGTCTGGAAACTATCTCACGGGGTTAATCTTGTGAGTACTCTGACTACATTTTTCGGTTAAAGAATTCATGGCAGGAACATATAATATGACAACCTATCTGGCATCTAGAAATGACGATGGCGTCACCTACAAAAGAGAAAACTCGGTGTTAGCGCGAGAAAGTGTGTCGGAGGACGGCCGGAAGAGCGTCGCTAACGGGCGTAGACTTCTTGGACATGNCACCTACAAAAGAGAAAACTCGGTGTTAGCGCGAGAAAGTGTGTCGGAGGACGGCCGGAAGAGCGTCGCTAACGGGCGTAGACTTCTTGGACATGAAAGACATGATACGATAACCTATCTGGCATCTAGAAATGACGATGACGTTACCTACAAAAGAGAAGACTCGGTGTTAGCGCGAGAAAGTGTGTCAGAGGACGGCCGGAAGAGCGTCACTAACGGGCGAAATAAAATGAGAACACCCGCTACTGCGACCAACGTCAAGAACATCATTCGCAATTTTGGATTTCCCGCCAATGGATTTTGGAGAAGTACAAATTTTGAGCCGGTAGCGACTGGGATCCCCGTAAAGAATGTCTTAAAAAGTTGTCAATTTTCCGCCAAGGTTTTTGCAAAAGTGTAATTTTCGGACCGTTAGGGACAAAAATTCAGAGAACCCGGGCTCCCACCAAAACAAATAATTTCAACCGACCAGCCACTGAGATCGTCGTCAATAACATCGTTAAAATTTAGATTTCCCGCCAACGGTCGTCTCGAAAATTGAAATTTTAGAGAGTTAGTGACCAAATTTCGGAAAGCCACGACCCGCGCCCAGCTACTGGGATCCCCGTAAAGAATATCTTTAAAAGTTGTCAATTTTCCGCCAAGGTTTTTGCAAAAGTGTAATTTTCGGACCGTTAGCGACAAAAATTCGGAGAGCCCGGACTCCCGCCAAAACAAATAATTCCGACCGTCCAGCCACTGGGATCGTCGTCAAGAACATCGTTAAAATTTAGATTTCTCGCCAACGGTCGTCTCGAAAATTGAAATTTTAGAGAGCTGGCGACCAAATTTTGGAGAGCCACAACCTAGTAAAACAAACAATATTGAACGCCAAGCGCCCGCTTACGGGTTGAATACAGGATTTCACTTCTTGGAGACCAAACCAGGAAAATTTGGACGACCCCGCTACAAGATTTCTGAATTGTGAGAAAGACTCCTCAAGGTTGGGAGTGGCAAAAAAGAATTTCAAAGAGGACGAGCATCGTTGAGCATCGCCGTGGCTCAGAGAGCAAACATACAAATAAAAACAGAGAGAGAGAGAAAGCAGCGTCGAGCAGCGTGGTAGTTGCTTAATGACCGTGGTTCCAGTGTAGATCGTCAGGAGTATCAAATAAACAAATTTACAAACATGGATATATATATATATATA